ATTGTCCACCAGCATCATTCCTAAATGGAACAGTGGGACACTGGTACGTAGTGGCCACCTCTGATTCCCAAGCTACTCTGAACCTCCCATTCCTTGGCTCCCCTGGTACACTGCAGCCTGGCTGCTTTTCCCTGACTGAGGATTTTGGCATATGAGGCAGGAATGTGGACAGTGCCTGTCTTACATGAGTGTCTCTGCATTCCACCCGTCGTCTTTGTGTACTAAATCTACTTGAGCATTGTACAGGAGCTTACATCAGGGACAGGTTCACTGTCATGTGAAAACATTCTTTCTGAAAACTAGGATGTAATTGTTCAAGGGCCAAGGTTGTGCAGACTGTTGCACCTGCAATTTGGTTCCTTGAAGTGCTAGGCAGCTCTCCTGAGCTTAACATCTGCCCTTTACTATTTGTTGTCATGGCAACAGCACAAACCATCTCCTTGTGACTAATCTGCTTTGCTTTTCTCCATCTAGGTTTTAAGAAGGAGAAAGAACCACAGGCATAGTTTCCCCACTCTTTCCTCCACTGCCTCTGAACATTTTCTGCCTCTTCCCTTTCCAGAACCACTGCTGGGGGGAGCAGGAGCTCTGCAGAAAATTGGACAAAGAATTTAACATTAGAAAGTGACTGGGCTGTTCTGTATCCCACTGAAAAGTACAGAAACCAAAGGCTGCTTTGCTATAAAAACGAATCCAATTTACTGACTAGAGAAGTAATAATAATGTAAGAAGTACATATGAAAGATTTTAACCTAAAATGCTGACCATGATTTTAATACAATGTGTGCATTTATACCAGATTAGTGTCAAAAGTGATATTTCAATGAAAGCAGGAAATAGAGAAGCAAATTACAGAGAGCTAGCAGTAACCACAGCTGCTTAACTAAGTTTCTCAGCACTATTTTCAAGTGCTTACAACTTTTACAAATTGCATGTTTCCTGGTCAGTGTTTCTTTTTGCCTCCAGATAATTTTGAAGATGTAAGCAGTCTGAGCAAAAAATGCCACGTTCCATAGTTATTTCTCTAATGGTGAGAGAATAGGGATGGTCCCTGTGGGATAAAAGCAAAGGTGCCAGGCAGACCCATCTTTCTGCTAAGAGTTCTACTCTTTGACCTTCAAAACACCCAAGATTGCCCAAAACTGTATTACAGTTATGAGGCAGACAAATTCTCTCTTCTTTCACTACTTATTTTCATGGAACAACTGACATATTTATGTCAAGATGTTTCAGGTCAAGGTCAAAATAGAACATTTTCTCAATTTTATAACAAAAGAGAATCCCAGGGAGATCTTTCAGGTGAGGTGTGCTTGGCTATGGTGCTGGAAGCTCCTAGACATAATTCTCTCTAGATTCAGTAACAGCACCAGGAATCTTGGTCCGAAGGAGTCCTTGTCTGTCTGGCAAACAGCTGCACAAGCCATTTATAAAACGTGCATTGCTTTCTCTTCTGAGGTTGCTCTTCACTAACACCACAGTTGTATTTCTGATTAAATGTTAGTCCCTCATTTTGTGTTTTGCCAAGAACTGCAGATTCCTTCTGAATAGCTTTTCTGCGTTCTCTAATTTAATCTTTTTTATTATTACTATTGCCATAGTATTTAGGAACCTTTAGTATAGCTCAACATATAACGCTGTGTACGTAGTGATAAGGGATGATTTCCAGCATTTTCTCATCTGTCGAGTATTACTCAATATGGTAACACAATTTGGCTCAAAATAATCAACAAAGATTGTACTCAGATCGTGTATTGAGGTTGAACAGCTTTGTGCGTGTGCATGCTGTGCATGTGCCTGTATTTCTGTGTGTGTGGTAGAGAGGGGAAGGAAGAGGAGTGTGAACTGTGAAATTTCAAAGAAGTGCCTGCACTAGAGAGCGAAGCAGAGATAAAGGTGGGCTCATGGTAACAAACCTTCAGAGAAAGTCAAACCAACACTGTTCGCAGAGTCACCAGAAAGGAAAAGATGTTTACAAAAGCAGCTTCCTCTCCTATTTAGGAACCCACTCTTTCTTTCATCAGTCAGTGAAAAATCTCGTTAGTTTTACGGCGTACCCTTCCAGCCTCCCTTTCTGTGGGTGGTACGTTGGGACAAAAGGAGCCATGGCACTCCACTATGCACATCAGTCACATTCTTCTGGTGTTGTCTCATGAAACTGTCACAAACTAGCTCAAATCACAAGAGTTAGGGATCTGCAAGGGCTTCCAGCTGTGGGTGGGAAGCCAAATGCCCATCTCCAAACTTTGCATATATTCAGCAATAAAATGCAAGTGATGCATTAAAAAAACTAGACCCATAAGTACATAATTTGCATACTCAAATTTAAGAGCGTTACGGCAGATACTGTCCATGCTATGTGTCATGTACAGTTCACAGTCCATTCACAATTCTTGACAGTTAATAACAAAGATAGGCTATCAGCTGATTTCAACTACTATAGCATTTCTTTCCTGATGTACTTGCCTAACCAATGAAGATATATTTTTAACAGCTGAAGCCAGGAGACTGCCTGTGCAGCTCTACAGAACATGCAGCCCATACTTTGGCTTGTAATGCATTTATCTTTTGTGTTCTAAAAATTAAAAGTTGTAACATAGTATGTTACACAAACATCCTAATAACTGGTGTCATAGATTTCTTAAGAGAGTTTAAGTTATTTGTCTTACTCAAAAATAATAATAATAACTCTCAAATATTGCAAGAGCCTGGACCTGCTCCAGCCTACGTAAATTATTCTGGAAATCAGAATATAGACTGTGGGTGATAGTGTTAAAGGTCAGGAAAAACTCCAATATCTGTATCTGGTGGTTCACATGTGTAATTTGAAATGAGTAGCTTTTTATCTAAATACAGGTTATCTGCTGTCTTGATGTAATGGAGATAGGCCAGCATTATTAGTGATGGGGAGAGCGGTTGGGTTTTTTTGCTCAGCTGGAAACATTCTACTACAAAGCTCAAGACTCAGATCCTTTTTTAATAAGCAGTATAATTCCAGCATCACACGTGGCCTCTCAAGGAGTTTGTAATGCAAATCTACAGACCTTTGCAAGCCAAGGGAGCAAAGGGACCTGCCTGCTCGAGAAAGCTTGCTAAGGCAGGGCCTGGCAGTGCTACAGGGTGATGGAGAAAACAAGCTGGTGCATGTTGCACCTGTGGGGCACTACTTTTCAGAGCCAGCAATGGAATGAAATGATGGGTCAGGCTACTCTATATGGACTTGACTATTGTTCTTTCTAGAGAAGGAAAAGACCAGCGCTGGTGCTCCTGTAACTAGTACGTGGTGACTGTAACCCAGCTGGTTCAGCTGTAATGGGGATACCCGAGCATTTTGGCTTGTTCTGGAATTGTGACTCAGACCCTTGCCACCTGAGAAACCATTTCATCACAAATGACTTAAAACTCTCCTCCTTTTGTCTGTCTGGAGCAAGCCTCCTTTGCTTTGTGCTCTTTGTGAAGCGCTTCATGATATAATTTCCAAACATGCCAGGATTTCAAGGAAGCATTTTTCACTCTGGCCATGTTTACACTGGTTATTTTGTGAACTCACATGTGTGCACCCAAGGCCTGATTGCTTGTCTTGGTGTGCCCAATTTCCCAGAGTATGCAGCACTGATGCTTCAAGTTTTGGTAAAAAATTTAGAAAAAAATACATGGCGCAAAGAGTAGAAGGAACAATGAGAGACTTTAGTTTTCTAGAGCTTGTCTGTACATATATACTGGTTCAATGTGCATGTGCACATTGTGATGGTATAATCATAAATGCACTATCTTTTAAGCCAGGAATACACCAATGTACAAATGGAATACACCATTGCCCTGCTCTTTCCACACATTCCACGCCACTGTGGAATAACCCTTTAGAAAGGTGAGACAGCTCTGTCTCAGCCCTCCTGTGGTAAAATGTGCCAAGACCATGAGAGAAATTACAGGATTAAGCTTTCTGCAGTTAAAACCAAAAGCAGTTCAGTAAATTTGGTGTTTGAATAGTACTGAAATTATGAAAAGTGCTGCTACACAAACCAGAAAAGAAACAGAAAGTGACTTTATTTTTAAGTTACGGGAGGCCACTTGCATAACACAGGATGAAAAAGTGGTAGTGATGGAAATATTGTCATGTTTTTAAGAGGCCACAATTAGGGATAAAGAGCAGAAAGACAAAGCCACAAAGAGAAAAAAATAATTGGCAAAGTCAGGGTAAGATTTTCCAGACCAGTGTGTGTGTGTAGATATATATATATATATATATCATAAAAAAAATGTTTTGCAAGCAGTGAAATTATCATTTAGGTACTGATGGAAAACACCATCAAAGAGGAGAAAAACCCCCAAACTTTCATTAAACTCAGTTGCATATGCACATAAAGGATATGCAGAAGACAGATAGATGTCAGAAAGTAGGTGACTAATGAAGTGGAACTCTGAGCATCCTTGCCTTAGATAAACAATTATTAGAGAAACATTCAGCTATCAAAATAAATATTATTTTGCAGAAGTCTAACAGAAAATCCTTTAAGCCATTCACAACAATAATCCCAGCTAAGCATAAAACAGCAAACATGCTAATGATTTACAGGGATTCCTTTTTCAGGTGCTGCCTTAAGCCCCAAATATGTATTTTTATTCCATAGTTAAATATCTGTATGTGGCTGAAATGTGTTACATTTGTAATAAACATGAACATCCATAAGCACTATACAGTTTTATTTCTAAGAGCTCAGTGAAACACAGATACACACAGACCTAAGAAGTCACAGCACTTGTATCCAAGGTGCATGCATTAAAATATGAATTATTGTTCTACAAACAAACCAAGAGTGGAATTATTATTTTGAATTATCTTGTTGAAAGCTTGGCCTTCCCATAGCTGCTTGGAGTCTATAGCAATCAGGACAGCTCTGAGCTGTGCACAGGAGCAAAGAACACTCAGCAGAGGTTGGGCACAGCCTCTAGAGACCAGTTACAGTGTACAATGCAATCTGTCATCTGAAGTAATGACCCACCTGCAGCAGCTTCCTGATTCTTTTCAGATTGTGTATCAAGAGCAGATTCTTCTCCTGTGAAACCCGGTCCAGCTGTTCATCCACTTGTATTATCAAATTCTGTAAAAGGATCATTGCCATTGCTTCATTGTTGGCTGCAGTCTCCCTAAAAAAAAAAAAAAAATCAGTGAATGAGAACCACACGTGTTTAAAATGTCGGGTAATATGTCAGTCTATCAGTACAGAAAATTATAATCTGTTCAGAAATCTAGGTAGCAAAAAAAGGCTTTAAATATACGGTGACCTGAATATCGTTAGAGGTTTGCAAATAATTGATTTTTAAGATTTTGGGGTGTTTTATACTCACATAGATATGCATCTATAAAAACAGGGTGAGGAGTCAGCCAGAGGAGACAACCAGGGTTTTCTAGTCTCTGCTCCAGTGAATATTTAAATACTTCTACCTCACTTGTCAGAGGAAATGGGGCTTATGCAAACTGTCCCTCTCACTCAGTCACAGATATATAATTACTGAATTTGCTATCTAGTTTCAGACAAAGCTGACAACAGGCTTGAAGTCCAAAAGATAGTATGTTCTTACAAATTTCATGGAAATCTGGCAGGTTGGTAGAGGAGAGGAATCCAAATTAATGCCTCCACTGAGGGAAACGGCAGTAATAACTTGCTCCAGGAGGCAACAGCCAGATGGCCAGTCAGCAGATATATCTCTTCACACCAGGCACCAGATGAGCCTTCGCCTGGCCAAACTATTTGGGGATACAGGAAGACTCTGAAGCTACTGATGAAGGGTATGTAGGGGACAAAGGACACAAACACAGGTAAAACCAGGCTTTACTGGTTCTGCTCTTCGTGGTACAGCTTGGATGTGAAGGGCAATTACATTAGGGAGCAAAAGAGAGAGGGAGGTAGAGTTTGGACAGCAAGGCATCCTTGTCCTTGGGATAGTCTCTTTCCTTGCCCAACAGATGGCAGATGCCTGTTTGAGATATGCCTACTAAGTCTAAGTCTAGCAAAAAGGAGGTTTTATTGCTTCCTGCATTCCTACAGCCCCGTAAATACTGTACAATAAACAGGAAAGATTATATTCCTGTGCAAATTTTTGGTTGGTTGGTTGGTTTTTGTGCAATAATCCTGTGGGTTTAGCTTGAAAAATTGAGATATAGCTAATATAATGGTTTTTTGGCATTTAGTTTGGAATTTTCTTACGATAACTATCAAGTAAATTCAATCCAAATTTGTGCATAAATTCACTTTCTAGAGAAGAGTTCCTGGAAATAGCTGGCTTGTTCCCCAGAATTATCCAGCTTTAAGTGTGGTTTTGGACAAATGAATAATTTTATGCTGCAACAGGTAATTGTATAACACTTCCATTGAAAGTAACTTGCATTATTTTTTTAATGAAAAACCTGTAATGTCATTACAGCTAGACCCTTTTTATTGGATTTTGTTTAGGAGTAAGTTCAAATGCGAAACCTTGCCTCCAGATATTCCTTAAGTTTAAACAGCTAAATCCATAACTAGTGGAATACTATTCTTGGAGTGGAGATGTCTGTACAGTTCATAAATGAGCACCCTAAAACCTGCCAGAAAACAAAAGAATTGTTCATAACTGAAATAATATGAAAGAGAATAAATGTAATCCTACCAGTCTTGGCTTTCTATCCACTGTGCTAGCAGGTGCCGGATTTCCATGGGGAAGTTATCATCATAGAACTGGTCCACCTGCTCCAAAAATTTTATTTCCAGTTGTTGAACTTGACTCCATTGGGACATACTGCAAAAGAAAAGGTGAAACATGTTTGCCATTGAAAAGCGAACATGAATTGCTAATCCAAAGTGCATAAATCACTTATTTTCATTGAAGTTTTTATGTACTTCAACATTTCTGTCTATCCTGTCTTTCAAAACAGATGGTGGTACTTGAGTAAATTTAATCTGTTAAGGGGAAGAGGGAGAAAAGTGGGCAAGACCATTAAAAGGAAGTTCTGATTTTTACACTTGAATAGGCACCTCTGTCAATTCCCTTTCTTAATGTAAATGTTTTGGGGTACTTTCTGGTGCTTATGAAGTTGTGAGATTTACACAGCATCTCTCATCAAGAGTTTAGGACTGAACTCTTCAAATCCAGTCAAAACTATTCTTATTGAAGAGTGGTAGAAAACAATGAATTTGTTCTCTTCTTGATGAATTCATACCACTAAAGTTTTTCCTAAAGCCATTATGGTTGTGTGTTATTGTGCTGTTCCTAAAGCCCCACATCTTCTGTTTGGAGAGTACTGCCTTACAACCTAAATTGTTTATCTAGTACATCTTCTCCATTTTAAATTGCTGTAGAATTATATTTGATGTTACAGAAAGAAAAAAACAACTAAGCATAAAGTCATATGAAAACTGTAAGTCAAGCAAAAGTAGCACCTCCTGATGACAGGCTCTGAAATTCTTAGTGAAAAAAACTATTCCAAGTAAGTTTTTCCTATTTACTGAGATCCTGGAAATAGAAGCTTGGTTGTTCCAGATTTTAGGTGAGCTGAATAAATATCTTCTCCTCTCCATGGTCTAAAGAGATTATTTTGGGTGAGCAGACTCTCCATGAGGACACCTCAGCCTGAGTACTCTCTCCACTCATGAGAACATTACCTTTCTGACACCTGCTCTCTAGGGTCACACCCCATCATCATTAATCCCACTGGTGAAAACACCATTGTCATTGTGATGCTTTCAGTGCAGGACAGACTGATACACCACAGCCTCAGGGCAGTCTTTGCCAGGCTGTAATCCTGCATGTGGACAAAAAGTCAGTGGTAGTGTTGAGAACAGGCCACCCTGGATGAGCAGAAAAGAGGAATGCCCTAAGTCCTGTGCCCTGGGATCTCAGTCCTTGATGACCCTATTCCCACACCAGAGGTGATCTTCCCTTTCATCAGAATGTTTGTTCATGTTAGCAAAAGACACAAAATCCAGTCAGGGGCTAATGATTGCATTGCAGTAGGTCAACAAATTACAGATCTGTTTGAACATTTTTGACAGAAACATTTCCTGAAAAAAAAGACAACATGAGATTTCATCAAAATGGACATTTTTGTAGAAAGCTGACCTTCTTATAAGCAGTTTTTCTATTTCCAGTTCTGAATCGTGGTTTCAGAATGTCAACAGTTTGAAATAGAGAAAACATCATATTTTTAATGGTGTGGTCTTTCTTTTTGCTTAAGTCAGAGTTTAAAAAAAGGATGAACTATCTCAAGGTTTGTAAAGGAGTCCTGAGTACTTACTCATGCAAAAGTAAAAGTGACAGGTTTTAGTTTCTCCTTAACAAAGGCTGATGGGATGATTCAGTGTGTAGTATGAAGGACACTATACAACATCAGTGGAAATGTGCCTAGGGATACATCCCTCCTCTTTTATTTCTTCCATTCTGAGAGGAAAAAATATTTCCTGAATATTTACTTTGTTTCTTTAAATTGCTGAGCAGGAGTAAGGCACAGGAATGTTTCACTGTGTTGCTATATTGATAGTTACAAAGAATCCCAGGTCTTGTTTCTGGAAGTACTTACAGGGAAACAGATCATGATGCATTAATACCTTATAGAATAGTGTCACAGAATTGTTAAGGTTGGAAAAGACCTCCAAGATCATTGTGTCCAACTGTAACTTTTTTCTGAACTTATACTCAGTAAAAAAAAAAAAAAAATCAGATTAGTAAGGCTGTTCACTTTCAATGGGACTTTTTATTGCAATTTCTAGTGAATTCTAGTGATTATGACATCCTAAAAATATTAGTAAGGAAATATAATTTTTTTATCTAAAGAAAAACAACAACAAAAAAGGCAGGATTTTGTTCAGCTTGCAGCCCCCTTAGGCCTTCCAGGTAAGGTGCAGGGATGCTCATGTGCATAAATGCATGCAAGGCACACAGGTATGGTTGGTTACTGGGATTTTTGTGACATGTTCAGTACAATACATATTCCTTTTGTGCAAAAGAAGTCACAGGGAAAGCTGAGAAGCAGTTTTAGCTCATTGTGGATGGCCCTTGAAGGGAACAGAAGGGAACTTACAGGAAAGATGGGGCAACGCTATTTACAAGAGCATGTAGTGACAGGGCAAGGGGGAGTGGGTTCAAATTGAAAAAGAGTAGGTTTAGTTTAGATATTAGGAAAAATTTCTTTAGTGTGAGGGTGGTGAGCACTGGAACAGGTTGCCCAGGGAAGTTGTGGCTGGCCCATCACTGGAAGTGTTAAAGGCCAGCTTGGATGGGGCTCTGGGCAACCTGGTCTAGTGGGAGGTGTCCCTATCCATGGCAGCCGGGCAGAACGAGATGACCTTTAAGGTCCGCTCCCAACCGAACCCATTATATGATTCCCGGCAGGAGCGGGCGACGCGTGACGGCGGTTATGAAGGTGCGTCCAGCTGCTCCCTGGACGGCGCAGACCAGGCATATCCCGCTTTCCGTGTGCCCAGGTGTTCGCCCGGCCGCCGCCGGGTTTGCCCTGGAGCCACTCTCCGGCGCTCCCACCTGTCCCTGGCGCTCCTGCCTGTCCCCAGCGCTCCGTGCACCCCTGTCCCGCCCGGCGCTATGCTACGCTCCATCCATCCCTCCATCCATTCATCCCTCCATCCATTCATCCCTCCATCCATCCATCCATCCATCCTCTCCTTCCTGGCGCCCCCACTTGCCTTTTCCGCGGGTCCGGCCGAGCACTGGTGCTGCTGCTGCCGGCGGCTCCCCCGGTCCCGCCACCGCCCTCTTTAAGTGCTGTGCCCGCCCCCGGCCCTACACTGCCTTCCTGTGAGTCAGCCCCGAGGGGCCCAACCCTTGCCAGGCTCTGCCGGGCTCTGCGAACCCAGGGAGGAGCGCCGAACGCGGCACGGCCCTGCTTCGGGTGCTGGGAGACGTGCGGGAACCCGAGTCGTGACAGTCACCTGGGGAAAGGTCAGAGCAGGGAGAGTTATTTGTCTTCAGGAGGCTGAGAAATAAATAGACCTTTCTAATTCGTACTGTGCGGCAGAGCCTTGGCAATCGCAGAGGTTGGAAAAGACCTCCAAGATCATCGAGTCCAACCTTTGGCTGAACACCACTTTATCAACTAAACCATAGCACTATGTTTCGCGAGCACCTCCAGGGATGCTGACTCCACCACTTCCCTGGGCAGTCTGTTCCAATGGTTAACCACTCTCTCCATTAAAAAATTCTACCTGATGACCAACCTGAATCTCCCTGGCACAGCTTAAGACTATGTCCTCTCATCCTGTCAGTGGTTGCCTGGGAGAAGGGGCTGACCCCCACCACTACAATCTCCTTTCAAATAGTTATAGAGAGCATCTTCCTACAGCATTCCAGGTAATAGCTGGAATCTCTCCAATATAAAAGATTTGATCCCCATCCTAAGGGGTTAATGATCCAGTATCATATCTGTAAATGCCAACAGAGGTGTTCTGAGTATCTTTTCCCTTAAGAAGTACATTATTAGAAAGAGGATTTCTATAATAGCAGGTGTAACATTGCTAAAACCAGTGTGAGTGGAAAATGGTAAATTATGACCATTTCACACCCATCTTACCTCAGTGCAGACTTTGAGCAGTAGGATCATGGCTCTGGTGTGATGTGAAGCAGCTGAAATTTGCCCTAAAGCAAATCCTTTTGACTATTGTTTTATTTGTCACATTTTGTCTTTACCAGAAACCCCAGCTGTGAGCAAAGCATTTCTGTGCCGTTCTGTGCAAACCTGGAGTAAGAGAAATGCTCTCAGAACCTGCCAGGGAGCCAACCAAGCAGTATTACACTGTCTCTGCACTGAGAGGAACGTGCATCCTTGTTCAAGGGAAAAAGCCAGGTACTGGAGATAGTGTTAAGAGGAGGGTGTGTGTTACTACTGATGCATAATTATATTTTCTAGGCAGAGCAGAGGGAGAATTGAATGTGAGGTGAAAAGCTTTGATACAAAGGCAACTTCTAGAAGATCATATACAGGTGTCAGCAGCTGACCTGTGTCTGAATATTGGCTGGGTAAAAGACAAATTCACTGTACATGTGTTTGAAATGAGTTTTGGCATTGTCTTTAATAGCATTTAGCAAATTTTCAGGTGCATTTGTGTACAGAGAGACAGGATCATAACAGAAGTCTGAAAAAAATCCTGATTTATAGATTTGTATGGTCCAATCCCTATTTCAGTAGACTCTCTTTAGTTCTGTTATTCTTTTATGTTTTGGGGGTTTTTTTCAAGTGAGATGAGGATATAATGTAGTAGAGGATTTTCTTCAGCCTCTTATTTTTTTACTAAATGACCAGAGTGCAAAATCACATTAGCTTTACAACCCAGAAGTGAAAGCTTGGTGTATAAGGCTGGAGGAATGATTTGGTTGCTGTTCATGAGCAGAAGCATATATAGCCCCAAATTGCATTTTGACTTCTCTAAGTGGCTATTTTTGGCTCTGATTTAACTCAGCTGCCACTGGCTCAAAAGAACTGACACTAGAGCAGAATAACAATATTTTCACTGCTTTTTGTTGGGAATTGTGGACCAGACTGAATGTCAGACTTGCCCTTTGTCCAAAGAAGTCAGTCCCCAAATACAGCCAGAGTTTGACAAGTCTCTGCTCAGACCTGATATCTGTCCTTCAGATTTCAGCAAGCATAGGAGGCTATACAGTAAAGCTGAACTTTACTTAGGTTTCTGGTTTTGCTGATGAATATACTGGCATTTCATTTAGAATGCATGCACTCACATTTTATAATCTTTCCATAGGACTGCATGCTGTTATTTTGCATATTTGATAAATAA